TGAAATTTATTTTTATAGTTAAGAGATTTTTGAAAAACAACCAATCGGGCAGCCAAGAGGAACACGTTTTATGGTGATAAAATTAAAATCCAAGCCCATTACTGAACAAAAGAAGACATACACTACAAGCTAACAATCGAGGATTATTTTTCTCAAAAATTATTTCTAGAACAACCTTCTACTCCATTTGAATAGTAAATTAATTATTCCCATGATATGCCTATCATTAAGGCCTTATTAAAGCGTAGAAGTAAAATTCAGAATTTTAATAGACCCAATGGCTAGCAGTTTTAGTGAAGTAGCAAATACTGACTTCACTGAGAACGGGAAGTTACCGAGGACACGAGGCTCACCTTTTCAGGTTGCACCCCCCCCCTCCGCCTTGGGACTGTACCATCCATTGTCACCGTAGTCCCACATTGAATGGGGTATGGCTCCTCTGGGTGGATAAAAGATATGAGATGGCCGTTCAAGCGTCGAACGAATCGATCGCCCATTGACCAGTCATCTCGAGGGACGAATCCGAGGTATGTGACCGCATGGCACACACCTCGGATTGAAGCTGTTCATTCTCAGATACCCTGGGTAAATGCAGGGGGAGAGGTGGTCAGGCTTCCAACGGGGCCAACGGGAATGAAAAGCCAAACCCCAACGGCCGCAACCAACCCCAACCCGAAAGCCAACCGAACCAAAAGGGGGTTGCCAACGTGGTTGGGCAAACGCCCGGCCCGGGGCCTAAGTGAACAACCCAAGGCGAAACAACCCAACCCCAAAAACCCGCCCACCAAAAAGGAAGGGAAAAGCCCATAGCCGGGAGGGGGGTGCAACCTGAAAAGGTGTCCGGTCCTCGGTAACTTCCCGTTCTCAATCCAGGTCCTACGGCATGTTTCCTTGAGACCTCTCCTTACCCTTGGATGCAAGGCACAACATAATGGTGTAGCCTTGGGAGCGTGGTAACCTCTCTAACGCGCACAAGCTGGATTCGTGGCAGCGGACGAGGGTTGGGTACCAGGGTCTTCATAGATGGAGGAGAGTGCATAACCATCTGAACTACCGGGTAGCAGAAAATGTTCCAAGCCCAAACCCTGCAACATGAGAATGTACTCGTAGTGGCTTAGTGGCGATGCTCCTGGCGAGAACATAGTGTGAACCTATTGCTCGAAGGTACCGTTAGTAGTGCCTATCTTGGTCGCGGTACAACCAACCCCCAAGAACATACATTGAAATGAATGTAACCCCCACACTAGGCCGGTAGGGTAACGCGGCGCGGCTCGGAGGAAGTTGCCAGACTTCTGAATCCGGCTCCGCGCCGCGCCGCGCTACCGCCCTTGTGTGCGTCGGGGCGGTCGGAAATCTTTGAGTTCGGGTATATTCCGCTGCCCTCGGACAACATATTTGTAAAGACGAAGCCAACGATTATGACGTGGGGACTACTAGAAATGCAACATCAACAATAAACCGCAGCACTGGTCAGATGGAGGGGGAAAATTCGACCAACGCGGACGAGAGCAGTTCTTACATAGTGTGCGGACCTTCACAATTCCACGCTGCGCCGCGCCGCCGATCAAGTGTGCGCTCAGCTTAATGAACTTAAATGCTTCCTAAGAGCCTACCTTATTCTGAAATCTTATTTAACTGACCGCTGCTTTAGGGTGAGGAGCATCAACAAATCCTCGGATTGCAGGACAATACTAGCTGACGTTTCTCAAGGGGGGAGTCTTAGGTCCATCCTATATACTATTTTCATTGCTGGTTAGTAATACCATCATTTCCACCTACAAAAAATACTCTAAAATTTTGTAACTCAAATTCCACACAAGCTACGTCCACCATCCCAAAACACCTCAAGCTTATCGAAGAAATATGCAAAAAATGGGGGAGAAGACAGAATGAGGAAAAATTTACCCAGTGTCTAACATAGGTGAAATAGTTTTGCCCTCCACTGCATAATAAGGGACTGGCAGTGTCCATAGTGTTATTTACGCCATGGTAGAACCATCATTGACTTTTCAACACCTTGTAGATCAATTAAAAAACATCTCTTGAAATTTGAAATTGCAACTAAACTAAAAAAATAGATCACCGCGGTGGTCAGTTTTTCGACAGGAGGGGCGGTACCTTCCCTTTGCGACAAAAGGCTCCAGATCTGTCCGTGTATCAAGCCGAAATAAATTTATTTCTCTTTTCCCGCTTTCTCTCAAAGTTTCAACGGGTTTATTTGTAAGAGAAAAGCTCTGGAAATAAATCTTCCATTTAGACGGGCAGTTTCGTCGAGGGGGGCGAGGGAGTGTCGGACCCTCGGATACCGGAAAATCCTGTGTGCTGTGTGCACATGTAAGCGTGCGGGTCCGGAAGTCCAAACCTACCAACTCAGCTTATAAGTCATTCCTAAAAAGAGGCTGCCACATTTATCTCCGTCTAGGAAAAATAAGTAAATAAGTTATTTTGGATCGGCCATTGTGAAAACTGCAGAAACGAACGATTGACCATAGCTATAGACCGCTTTCATAACGACCAACCATTCTATGTTAAATTAAATAATCCGTTTACTAAATCGAAAATGTATAACATAAAACAATGCTAAAATTGTGGTAAACCACTCATAGAAATCATGGTTAGCAATATCAGCTGTAAGGTGTAACATCATAACGATCTGTGATATCATAAACAATTTTTTTTTGTATTTATCAATCAAAATTTAATTATTTCAAACCTGATCACAGTACCCGGAGGACACATGCTATGAGAAACTAGCCAATGACTCCGCGTAAGAGTTTAATGGACAAGGATGTCTCGAAGGCATCGTCGATTAAGCCGATTTGCCGGGTCCGCCGAGTGGTACTGTGTGAAGAGGACTCGAGCAATAGGATGGGTCGAGAGGTTGGTATGAAACTTTTGGATTCGGGAACGAATCAGTTGAGGAAAAGGAATTCGTTGTGGATAGTGAAGCTAGTGACGTAATAAATAGCTTTGACGATTTGGCTGATGACTTTTAATTGGAAGGTCCAGATCTTTTCTCTTTCTTCCTCGCCGGGGATGGAATACCGCAAGGAAGCATCCTAGATCCTCTCCTATATACAATATACACTGCCGATATTCCTAATTCCTAACACATTCCTTGCTTCGTTCGCAAAAGATACACTTCTCGCATCGAAACCGAGACAGCTGCCTCCGACATCCAAGTCCTCGAAAGGATATCAGTCAATAGACGAAAAAATTGAGAATAAAATTAATCAAAATAAATGTATCCACACAACCTTTACCATCCGTCGAGCGACATTTCCAACTCTACTTTAACAACATAATGCGACTGCTGATATAGTTAAATATCTAGAAGGTTTTTTCACAAAAACTGACATGGAAACCCCATATTTAATTGAAGAAACAGGAACTAAAAAAACGATACAAAACTTATTATACAAATACTAGACAGTTAAAAACTTACACTAACGAACAAATCAAATTGTTAATATGCGAAACAGTACTCCGCCCCATTTGGACCTACCGTCAAAAATTATCTGTAAAATCTCCATTACTCTTTATTACGTCTCGAACCTTGCCCTAAACCCCGAGCTCTAAATTAATTTTGTCAAAGTACTTTTCCTTTCCCGGTACCGAAAATTCCGTAACACAGTGATGACGGTTAACACGGATTTCGGTCCTAAAGTGTTATGTTGTTTCTTATGTCTTGTGTGCAGAAGAGAGAGAGAGAGAGAGAGAGAGAGAGAGAGAGAGAGAGAGAGAGAGAGAGAGNAGAGGGAGAGAAAGAGAGGAGTGTATGTTAGAAAGAAACGCAGAGTAAGAGTAAGAGGGAAAGAGTGTATAGTGTCAGAGATAGTGAGAGAGAGGTAGAGAGAGCATGTAAAGTGTCAGAAAGTGCCAAAACAAGTGTAAGAGAGAGAGAGAGAGAGAGAGAGTGAGCGAGAGAGAGAGAGAGTGAGCGAGGGAGAGAGAGTGAGGAAGAGAGTCAGGCAGATAGATATACATAATGTGAGGCATACAGAAAGAGCAGGGGAAAGAAAAAATAATGACATTCTACCATCTCCTCTTCTTTCACGCAACTCCACTACCTTTTTCTCTCTCTGATTCTCTCCTTATCTGACACTTGCACTGATTCTCTGTCGCACACTACCCTGGCTCTCTCTCTGATGGCAATATAGGGAATAGGTAAGTCAGCAGTATAGATGATATAAAGGATGGGACCAAGAATGGGCCCTTGCGTCACTCCGGGCTTGTATCGATCTGACTTCTCAGAACTCGTTGCCACACAGTCTGAAGCAAAGATCGGTTAGGTAGGTTTTAAGAGTAAGATAATAGGTGGGTAGAAAGAGTTTGAGTTTATAAAGCATGCCCTGGTACCAGACCATACCAAAAAATTAGATATGGATGGAGGTTAATTTGTTCCATTTCCAGCAAATGATGTGTTCATAAAAATCAGTTATATCTTCTATTTTTCATGGAATATTGTATTTATCATTTTTAGAATATCTTGGATGTAGATTGTTGTATTGTCGTACAAATCGATTATCTAACATATTTGCTGCTAGGACAATTTTTTTGTTATGATGTATTAAAAAAGAGCATTCACCGTAAAAATTGCAGATTGGAAATACGGATTAGGGCCTTCCCGATTTCACGCCCGAGGCCTTTTTTTTCAAAGATGTTTTTTCTCCCTATATTGTTGTAAACATAAATTTGACTCGAGTGGGAAAGTTTTCCTGGGCATATTAATCCTGGTACAGATGAAGTATCATTTCTCTCCCGGGTATTGAGAACAGGGCCGCGGGCAAATCCCCTGCAATTAGTTTAGCGTAGTGAGACCTCCTACGGGATTTATCGGCACGGAACTTTTATCGAAAACATTAAATGCATTTTGAGGTAAGGCATTTGTTTGGACTAATTTCTTTCACTAGGTGTAGCTGACCTGTGTAAACATTGAATTAAAAAGAAAGGGAAGAAAAAAGTGGTTAAATAATCAAAGTAAAATAAGGTTAACTCACCGTTCGGCGATTCCAGTCGAAAGGATATTCCTCTTGTTTCAGGTTCCAGGGGTGGCAGTCGCGTGGTCGTCGGCACAACAAAGTGTGATGCAGGAAATTCCTTCTTCTTCACGATGGGGCCCTCCAAACTAACATCGCCATCGAAAAATTGTTACTATTTTTTACATATTCAAGAGAAATATTATTTTATACTAAAATAATTCTCGAATTAAAAGAAAAATCCTTTATTTTTGTATATTTTTAATTTTAATTGCAATTAATTTTCATGTTCTTCTAAGAGATGAATAATTTTATACCAACAAAATTCTCCAATTTACAGGGAAATCCTCTATTTTTGTAAGTTTTTAATTTTAATTATGATTAATTTTCAAATGTTCTTCCAAGAGATCAACTATTTTATATTAAAAAAAGTCAAATGAAAATAAAAATTCTTATACTTTTTTACTTAATTTGTAATTTTAATTGTAATTAATTTTCAAATATTCTTGTATGAAATAAATTATTAGATATAAAAAAATCTCACATTAAACTAAAAATCTTTCATGTTTGTAAATTTTTAATTTTAATTGTAATAAATGTTAACGTTATTTTAAGCTATTCTTTTCATTATTCCTTTTTTTATATATAATTTGATATAATGTTGTTTTAATTAATTTCCAAGTGGTATTTTTTATCAAATTCAATATAAAAATAAAGGATTTTACTTGCAATTGGTGAACTAAAAAAAAAATTAGTTCGAATCTGAAATACATTACAAAAATTTTTTTTTAATTCCAATTAATTTTCACGTGTTCTTCTAAGAAATCAATTATTTTATACTAAAAATATTCTCAAATTAAAAAAAATTCCTTTGTAAATTTTTAATTTTAATTATAATTAATTTTCAAATATTCTTGTATGAACTAAATTATTTTATGTTAAAAAAAAATTCAAATTAAAAGAAAAATCATTTATATTCATAAATTTTTAATCTTAATTGTTACTAATTTTCACATGTTCTTCTAAGAGATCAATAATTTTATATTAAAAAAATTCTCAAATTAAAAGAAAAATCCTTTATTTTTGTAACTTTTTTAATTTTAATTGCTACTAATTTTCAAATGTTATTCTAAAAGATCAATAATTTTATATTAAAAAAATTTTCAAATTAAAAGAAAAATATTTTATATTTGTAAATGTTTAATGTTGATTGCTACTAACTTTCAAATGTTATTCTAAAAGATCAATAATTTTATATTAAAAAAATCCTCAAATTAAAAGAAAAATCATTTATATTTGTAAATTTTAAAAAATTAAAAGAAAATTCCTTTGTAAATTTTTAATTTTAATTGTAATTAATTTTCAAATTTTCTTGTAAGAAATAAATTATTTTATATTAAAAAAATTCTCAAATTAAAAGAAAAATCATTTATATTTGTAAATTTTTAATTTTAATTGCTACTAATTTTCACATGTTCTCTTAAGAGATAAATCATTTTAAGTTAAAAAAGTTCTCAAATTAAAAGAAAAAAAATTTATATTTGTAAATTTTTAAATTAATTACATTTTTAATTCGTGTTCTTCTATGAGATTAACTAGTTTATATTTAAAAAATTCTCAAATTCAAAGCAAAATTCATTATTGCTATATTTAATTTGATATAATGTTTAATTTTAATTACTGTCCAAGTGGTATTTTATATAAAATTTCCAACAAGGGGTTACCTTACATTATTTTCTTACATTTCAGGCCATAGCATGCTTTCTATTGCTTAAATATTTTTCGGGCCTGTGGGTGAATCGAATTTTTCTTTTCTAAAATGGATTCAACTCGAAAACAGCTACAGTTTACTCCTCTGTTAAAAAGTTACTAAATATATGTGTTTATAATTTTGGGTTAATTAATAAGTGATATCAGTTTCTCCAGAAAGATATGGGATAGAGAACTGAATTAAGTAAGTAGTTAATTTGAAATTAAAAAGGTTAATTGGAAAATATAAAAACTTAACTTTATGTTTAAAAGGATTAATTTGCAATGAAAAAGTCTAAGAGGATTAATTTGAAGGAAAAATTTATGGTCTAGTGTCAATTCCACAACAGAACTCATAGGTCGCAGTGCCATAAATCATGCGGTTTTTGCTCACTGAAAACAACAGGTAAGCGTTCGGCTTCGATTAATCGAATCCAAACAGAGGGCGGGATGTTAACCTTTTTCTTTGGGAAGGGGCCTTCGAAATTAACAGCGCGACCGAACACGAGGCGATTTCTCAAATTGGAATAAATCTTCCTTATCACCCAGCCGGGATTTATGGTGACTGGCCATTTTGTTCGGTTGTGGATTGACCCATGCCAAATCTACTTATCATTGACCAGTTAGGGACTTCAAACAAAAACATAACATTAAAAATAACTTGTTTCAGTAAGAACAAGCAAAGGGAGGCAATGGACAGAAACCCAGCTTTTAATGCAACAGTTTTTGGCAAGACTACGTCAAAATTATTAAAAAAACCGGTCATGCTAATGGGTCCTAAGAACCGAGAATTTTTATTTAAATAAATACATAATTTGTACTGTTTATAGATGAAAATATATATTGCAAATTTTTGAGTAAACGGATTTTTTTCTAAACATCACAACACTGACTATATGATCATATAAATAGTCAACGCTGGCACTCAATATGGGGTTTAAGGGTAGAGAGGGTTAGTATGTGTCGAAAACTTGGTGGAATCAGGTGGTTTGGATAGCACTGTTGATGATGTAGTAAGGAGCTTTGAAAATTTGTCTGAGGGCTTTGCTTAAGGATTGCGTTTGATGTGAACGCGTAAACACTGACACTATGGCCTCTGCATTCGGAAGGCACGTGGTCTGAGAAAGCAACCGAGGTTATCGTTCAATATGTTGGATTAAAGGGCGACGAGGTCATTAGGCCATCAAAGATTTTATCAGTGGCGGGTTCAGGATGGAAAAATGTAGGTAAGGATTGGCCGGTAGCTAAATGGATCGAAAGCTTTTATGGAACTTTTCGAAGCTGGAGCCGATCGGTTAATTGACAAAAGGAATGTTGCGATCGTTGTGGATAGTTGGTGACGTAGTAAGAAGTTTTGTCAATTAGCCTGATGAATTTTGATTAAAACTGTTGGATATTGTGTGGCTTGGCAGACCCCTCTAGGTCCACTCCGTATGTCCAACTGGTCGCAGTAAGTAGTATATTTAGTGCTAGTTGAAGTTTGACGTTTCAATCAAGAAGTTTTCATAGATGTTTAAGTCTTGAGTTAAATTGCCTCTTTAGTTCTAAGTAGTGACTCGACTAGAAGTTCTTACCTAATCTTATTATCTAATCCGGAAATCCAACCATAACCGATTGCTTCAGAGTAATTTGCATCGAGTTCGCGAAGGTAAAACCGGCGTCCTGCAAGGGTTCTTGGTTTCATCTTACATATTAAAACGCGTTCTGTATGCAATCTACAAGTTTAAAACATTGTTGTCTTTGAGACATAGGTGTTCAGCTATGAAAACGATCATGGACGTCCTGGACATTTTTCCTCATTAGACACCTTTTGCGCCAGGCTTTGAAAAACGCAAGGTGTTCTTTTCGCTTGGATAGGACTCGAGTTACAAAACCACACATAACTGCGCAGTCTTTCACAAATGTGATAATGGTTGGGATGTATAGGAAAGTCAGCAGTGTAAAGGTAAGTAGGATGCGACCAAGCATGATCCCTTGAGAGACGCCGGTTTTTATTGCCTGATATTCAAGGAAGTACTCTTACTTCTTTAATGAGGACGATATGGCATCTACAATTCTGATCATTCAGTGTCAAGGACGGAAGACGAATTGGTGAGTAGGATGTGGCTTATCAGAAGACTTTCGAGTATTGGGTGCATCACTGGGATAAAACGGATGGTTTATTGAGCTTGATAATGATAATGGGCACAATTTTTTCTCATTCAATCCTGTTCTCCTGTTTTTCACCAATCTTTGATAATCTCAAAGCTGTTTGATGGTGGTGGCAGCTTGGACAGGATTCGGTTTAAAGAATTACAGTGACTTTTTAACATAACATTGTTTAGATAAATAGGCGAACTAAAAAGATAGGAAACAATTAAATCACAATATCGTAATTGGAGAAAATTGACGCCACGACATCAAGTCTTGGCGCTTCAAAAATAAAAGGATTCGAAAGATATCAGATCTGCGGCGCAATTGGAAACGTCGTTTCCTTGATCGTTTCGTACAGTCTTTTCCGTTTTCCCTGTGATTGGTAAATCTTTCAGTTGTCAATCGTTTTCTCCCTCCTGACAAAGGGAAAATAAGAAACAAGACAACAAAAACAAACAAGCCTGGGGTTTCAATAAAGTCGGTTTTCAGCCGTGTGTGACCGGCCGCCTCGGTTTCCTATTAATTCCCAAGAGTGAATATAGTTTCTTCTATCCCCAGCCCAAAAGTATAAAGCTTGGCTTAGCAATTTTTAACTTATAGAATCTTATAGAAAAAGATGTTGAAGCCTTTTTATTATTAGGTTAGGTTATAGTCGTATTTACGACATATTCATAAAAATAGAAATGATAAATGATGGAGTGAGTGTGGTGTTCAATCCTTTTTAAAAAGTTCCTACTCACAGTAAGTTGTTTTGCAATGATCCGGATTTCGAGCCTTTTTGCTCATCATCAGGTTGAAAGACATCTAAACCACGTCTCTCGACATGAATTGCCAAAGTGAACCCGCTGATACTTCCGCCAGAGCGACGTTCCAATTAGCAGCTGATTTTATTAATGGCGCTCAATTTTGAACGTGCGAAACGCGGAAATTATAACACAGATACATATTATACTAGTAAATACCTAATATTATTAAATTACTATAAAAATAATAACCATTAAAATAATTAGTTTAATTATTTGGGTGTTTGATATTATTTATGTACATATTTAAAATGGGAGTCAGATCAAAATCTGTTATATTATTAATGCATTTATCGCCATGTTCAATTTAACATTTTTTAATTTCAAATTTTTCAAACCAATCTAATCCTTTCCCTTTGTTGAAACGATGTAACACTCTTGTATTTACTAGTACCACTGGGCTATCGTAACACTTTTTAAAGTCACCATAGCTCAAGAGATTAGAGAAGCGTATTGAGCCG